TTTGTAGAGATGAGGTCTCACTATGTTGCCCAGGCTGGTCTTGAACTCCTGGGTTCAAGCAATCCTCCCACCTCAGCCTCCCCCAAGTGCTGCGATTACAGGTATGAGCTACTGCGCCCTGCTAGGCAACAAACTTCTTTAACCACCCCCCAAGTGCTTCTAATATAAAACTAGCATGAGAACTACCGTGCAGAGGGAGTGCAGTGTTTCCAGGACATTCCGAGTAGCAGAGAGCCTCGGACACACCTGCTTCACATTCCTCACTTTTTTTTTTAAACTAAGAAATCTTAGCAGAAGGAAAGTTCCACCCACAATAGCAGTAGAAGCTGTGTATTTTGGCCTGGCTTCTCTATCCCCCATAGAACCTGCAGCTGCTACAAACATTCCCCAAGCAGGCAAGAGTCTTCCCCCAGAGTGAGAAAACCACCAAACTCTTGCTAAGCCAGTGCTCTTTTCAAACTTGAAGCTGACATAGCCATTTTAGAATGTACACTAATAATCTCTGTACCTCCATGTAAGAGAATGTGTTCCAAAGCCAGGCTCTTCTGGTTCTATAATACAGTCATCAGCAAAGCCACATCTTAGGGTAGGGGAGGAAGCAGAGTCAATGTCCATATGTTCCTGAATATTAAACTTTCTACCGCATTCCTAAAAATCTGCCTCTCCACAAAGTTTAGAAGAGCTATTATATCTGTGTCTCCTGAGCACTATCTCACAGTTTGTTGTAGATTTTTAAAGTAAATTGCCTGGCTTCTGTGGTTCCCAATTTTCACTTTTTGTAATTTGGCGTTAACAATCCTCACTATAACCTACCCCATACTTGGCCCTTACAATGTATCAGGCACCATATTAAACACAATAATCTCTAGTAGCTAGAGATGGGACAACCCTACAAAACAAGCACAATTTTCCCAAGTTTACAGATGAGGTGACTTATAGCTAGTAACCGTCAGAGCTGGGATTCAAAATCAGGTATGTCTGGCTCCAAAAACAACAATATTTTCACAATGGTCTACGGTCCACAGAAAATCTATTGGAAGGTTAGTAATTGTAACAAAACAATAGAAGTAAACACTTGTGTAGCAGAATGGAATCACCCTAATGTTCTGTCCTACCCTGAGCGAGAGAAAAGTACTCCTTAATACTATAAGAAAGGGACTGGCAATAGTAGGAAACTGCCAGGGGAGGGAGGGGCATACCTCATCAACAAGGGTACTTGCATAAGGAACCTTTGTATACCTGACCCTGAAATGTAACCCATATCTTTAAAATTTTTTTTTTTAATTTTTTAAGTAATTCTTATTCCCAGGTTTCACATCTTCAATCACATCAAATAATAGTCTTTTTTCTGTAGAGATGAGGGGGTGTCTTGCCTTATTGCCCAGGCTAGTCTTGAAATCCTAGGTTCAAGCTATCCCCTCACCTCGGCACTCCCAGAGTGCTAGAATTATAAGCATGAGCCACCACACCAGACCCAAAGAAAAGTCTTTAAAGCACCCAAATCCTTTGAGAATGGAAGTACTTCCTGATTAATTTGTAGCCTATGTTATAAAATCACTTCTAAACTGTTATATAATCAGGTCCTATAGACATTGAATCATTATGGCTGGTAGAGCAGGAACCGGACGGTCTAAGAGACAGATGGACATCTTTTGCAGTCAAGTAGGAAAAACACTTCTAACACAGCAATGCAAGTTCTTGTGCAGGTCAGGATTCTTGAGAGAGAAAGATTTTGAGCTGACACGAGGAATATTTTTCCCCCATATTCAAAGCACAGACATGCTCAGTTCTTGCCCCCACCACATATTCAGCCTAATGGTGGGAAGACAGATATTAGCCAAAGAGTCTCACAAACACGATTCTGTGAAAAGCGCCAGGAAGGAAAAGCCCAGGGTTCTGTGACAGCATATAACAGGGCATATGATCGAATTGAGGGCCAGGGAAGTCACATACAGTGTAGACAGCCTTCCCCAAGGAATTCTTATCTTCCTGGTAAGAGTGTGTGGCTCCCAAGCTAGATATGACCTACTTCCGACCTGTATCTTCAAAGTCACCAACCAAGCCCCTAAAATAATGGACATGAGCCCTTGACATTGTTAGCCCCTCCCGATTCTCCTGGGCTTCTTCTCTTCCAAGGATTGAATTTCTAGGTTTTAGTCCTAGCAGCATGGATCCAGTCCCTTCCCTTTTCTTGTGTCCACTGTCTCTTCTTCCCCACTCATTGTACCAAATCTAACAACTACATATCCATAGGCTCATCGTAATTCTCCCATATCTTCAAAGATAAGGACACTAGGGTTCTTGTCAGCCTTTTTGGAACAAAGAATGTCCCCTCCCACTGACTATAAATCAAGTGAACTAACTGTGGGCCTATACTGTTTGGTCAGCTACATTCACCCAGAGTTGACTTAGATAAACCAGGAAAAGAGGAACAAGTCCCTGTCTCACTCAGTAGACCATGCCACAGTTGGAGGGACACTATCACTTGAAAATGCAGATCCCGGCCAGGCTCGGTGGCTCAGGCTGTAATCCCAGCACTTTGGGAGGCCGAGGCAAGTGAATTGCCTGAGCCCGCAGGTTCGAGACCCACCCAGGCAACTTGGCGAGATCTCGTCTCTACAATAAATCAAATATTAGCCGGGCGTGGTAGCGCGCACCTGTAGTTCCAGCTACTCGGAAGGCTGAGGAGGAAGGATTGCCGGAGCCCAGCAGGTCGAGGCTGCGGTGGCCGTGAGTGTGCCCCTAACCTCCAGCCTGGGCGACAGTGAGACTACAACTCAAAAAAAAAAAAAAAAGAAAAGAAAGAAAACGTAGATCCCAGTAGAACTGGCCTACCCAGAGACAACCCAGACTTACAGAAGGGTTGTCCCTTCCTCGAGGCTGTCCGTTCCTTCTCAGCTCTGAGCAGGCAGGGAGCGCCTCGCCCTCCCTCCAGAGTCAGGAAAGGCTGTGCTCTGCCTCACGGATTTAGCGAAGCAAATAGAAGTTTGATTTCTTTTCAGATAAAAGAGATGATGCAGATGAGAATTTTATCTTGCATGGAGGAGTGACAGAGTAGGAGAATGAATCCTACTTGATTACAATCTTCCATCATTCTGATTTTATAATTACTGAATGAAATCAATCAGCTTTCAATTGTTACCTTGGTGAGAGATTAAAACATCATTACTTGTCCTTCATATTTCACACTTTAGCAAATTTTAATAAACTGAATGCATGAGAAATGGTTATATTATCTTTCATGATATTGGGATGCTAATGACATTTCTATTGATTTTAATTCACATTTGTTGGTCAAAACGAGTCAGATTCCAGCGAGGCATGGCATCCTATAATCAACACTAACAAATGAAGACCACTGAACATTGAAATGGGCCAAATGAAATCATTAATCAGAAATATCGTAAAATGATTGCCAAAAAACTAGGGAGGTCTTATCTCCCTAATGAACATCTTTTATGGTCTATCGGTTCATTCGTAACTTTTGCACATTGGTGATTTCTCTATTAAAATATGTTTAAAATAAGTACATAAAAAGTACTTCAAAAGGGCAGGATTGGGAGAACATCAACTTATCGATGAAGGGAGTCATGGGCCCCCTCCTATGAAATCGAGTTCTGAAGATCACAGACTGCAAGCAATTCTTCCTTCAGATCAGTTGAGTCTGGAAAATTCTGAGCCTAGTAGCAGAAAAGATCATCCAAAGTTGTCAGATAACACAGTACAGAATAAAAGACAAGGGCACAGGTCTTCTTGTCAGACATCAGGACTTCAAATAACTTGGGCTTCTTGACTTCTTTGTGCCTCCGTATGCTTATCTATAAAATGGGGTTACAGTAATAATCCCCGCTTCAGACTGCTGTTCTCGGGTTGAAATGTGATCATATTTCCTCATGATCCAGTCAAACTGCATTTCCATGGTTAAAAACAGCATTAAATTTCATGAGTGAAGATTTTCTTTTGATTCTCCCAAATTCTCTGT